CTGATGGTCACATCACATACAACCATGATGCTAGAAATTAGCCGGCATGTTGCTTTAGGAGTCAGCTGACTGTCACAGCTTCAAAACCTCGTAAGGAGAAAAACTCAATGTTCGTCTGAACAAATTTGCACCAAACCTGGTGGAGGAATGAGTCAGGAAAGAAGCCATTACTTTTCTGTTTCATATGCAGGTAAAGAGGCAGATCCAAGGTCACTTTCTAACCAGTATTGCTTTTTTTTTGTCATTGTCATCAATCCCTTGGAGAAATTATGTTTGAAAATTTGGGCTGAATGAAATAGCCAAAATGTATATCAAGATAAAATATTTTCACATCAGTCAATTTTGATAATTATCACAATAAATGTCACAGTATTTCTTTATTACTATTGATGAAAATTATACTTATATTGTGAATGAAATCTACACAAACTACATAATCTTGTATTGAATTAAATACAGCAGTTTTTTATGTAAACTTGTATACTTTATAAGAAATTATAAAGTATACAAAACAATAAACCTGAAATACAGGTTGGGGGGGTGTCGCGTCAGGAACTTAATTTTATTGTGAATGTACCAACAAATAAATACTCCCAAGCTGAGGTCCCTACTGTCTTTATATGTTCTTATAGACGTAAATTAAGTTTATCATTTTTATGGAAGTGGTAACCTTTGCAGATGCTATTTATGCTTTAGTTTTATTTGCATGTAGACGTTTTTAAAATTTTCCTTTTGACCTGCTCCGACTCGCTCTCATATTAATTGATCCTCGCTGTCCTCTGCTCATCCTCCTCTTCTCTCCTTTCCATGCCCTTTCTCTCATTCCTTCTGTCTCATCCTCTCCAATTTTCTATCCTGTCCCCTCCCCCTCACAGAGAGGCTTCTACAAACATAGCTTTGGAGTAGAAGAGGAGGGATGTTGTGAATAAAGTGGTGGGGAGTAGAGGGACAGTTCAGTTCCTGTATTATTCAAATGAAGCCCCTGCAAACTGGGTATTTTTGTGCCAACAGTGCATTTAATTAAATCTTATATGTTAAGTTTTTTCTTTATCTTGTTAAATTGCTTCTTAGAATATGACAGTATTAATCCATGTTTTGTAAGCGGTATCTGTATTTCAGTTATCTGGTGCACAAACCAGAGTAAGCGATCTGGGCCGAGAGCTGCAGCGGTGATGGCGGTGAATGAAAAGAACTCAGTTTGACAGAATTTATGGATTAATTTAGCTTGTTAAAGCACACACACGTACAAACACACAGAGCTAATGTCGTTAATGGATGGATAAGAACACCCTCCCTCCGACAAACCCGCACACACTCCTGCACGCATAACACACACACTCTCCGTATCATCTTTCACGTCCTGCAGAGGTCATAAAACATGCCTTTGTCATTCTGTTTCCCCTCCCCTTGTCTTTCGGGTCCTCCTCGCGCACACACCCACATACAAGCATGCATCAGTCCGCTCGGGGTCTGTGGGTCCACATTTAATGCAACCAATTACTTAAGCCACCCCCCACTCCCGCTCTTCTGGCTGCTGCATTACGTCAGGCTTGGCAGGCTGTATTTTTAGCTGGGAGATGCCATTGGCCCTCTCTCCCTCCTTCTCTGTGGATTGAGTTTCAACCTTGTTGCTGAAAGAGCCCAATGGACGCCTATCCCAGCTGCCCTTGTCCAATCACAGCACCTCGAACCACCGTGTAGGAAGCAGAAGGAGAGAATATGTCCAGTGAGGTTTTGGTGGTGAGGGGCGACAGGGAAACAGTGGAGCAGGGGCCACTGTGAGTGTGTTGAGGGTAACTGAGACCTGCCAAGATGTGCATTCATGCCTTGCCACAGACTGTATGGTGGTCATGCATGCTGAGTATGAAGACGCTGCTATAGAACGTCTGTGGTGAATACTGGAGTGCCAAATGTTAATGCTAGCTGTTTAGCATTGCTCCCAGACACCAGAAATTATAAGTTTGTAAGAGGAAAAACAGTGAGAAGAGTTACAAAAATACATGCAGCTCTATTTTCAATTTTCCCCTTCCTTTTCCCCTCTCATTATTTCAGCCTTTAATAGTGGCTGTGTACTTAAGGGGGCAGTTTTTCCCGACGGTAGCAATGAAGCCATGTTCTGCACAGCTGAGGCATGAGGATGGAGCGATGACAGCTAGACCCCATGCTGCTAGAGTAACTCACAGAGGGTCAAAGAAAGCTTGGAATGTTTTCACTTGAGTGAAACACCCAAGTGTTAGTCTATTGGAGTAAACAGTATAAAACCCAACAGCTTGACAAACAACCCAATTCAGTTCACACAGGGCCTTCACAGTGACATGTGCATTGAGATGCTGCCGGCCGCTCTTCTCAAACTTTCCTCACCATCTTAATCACCAGTGTAATCTCCTCCTCATTGCAGCCGTCATGTTTCCTGGTTTGAAGCAGCCAATCTGTTGTTTCACAAATTCAGCCGCTAATCCCATTCGCTCCGCTTTATAAACTGGATCAGTAGGAGACTACAATGCATACGAATGCCCCTATGTAAAGTTAAGATCAGGGAAAACAATAATAGCTGGCTAAAAAAAGAAGGTCACTCAAGGTTTAGGTTTCCATGGCTCCAAGCAGCCTTAATGACAGACAGAGATAATCAAAGGGTAATAGAAAAACTTGGACATTTTAGCAGTAACATATCAGCTGTTGCTTACATTTTGCAAGGAATTTGTCAAACTTGTTGCAGTTCTTTCACACATGATGATTAATGTTGCATCACTTTTTCTTATTGGACATGAATTACCATAACAACAGCCGAGGAATAAATGGGTCTTTGCTTCAAAAGACTCCACTCAGGCCATGCTGTAACTCCTGTTTGCTCACTACAGTCTGTATTAGCAGTCCATTATGGTTTCAGTTTCTCCATTTGTAGCTGTGGTCTTCCTCATGTAGTATATATGCCACATTTAGCTAATGGGCCACCAGCCTTGAACACAAATAGATGTGTTTCCTCATGGGGATCAAAATGGAGCTGGGATTCCTCCACCTAAAGCATTGTTATTTTTTACTCACTTTTATGTACTCATCACTAAGGCAGATCACCTTCCGGGTGATGGGGGGTAGGGTGGCATAAATTAATCATTCATTTATTGTAATTAAGGTAAAAGTTTGAAATAATCGTGATAGTGATTTGAAGTCATATCGCCCAGACTTGCGATGGGGCTGATTGTGGCCCTTTAGTACTGTGCTAGGCTAGCTGACATGAAGATGTATGTATTATAACTATTGTAGAATACAGTGATTATTCACAGGGTCACATTCTATGGAGTCATTCAAAGTCGTTATTTTTAGGATACATTTTTCTAGTGATATTAAAGATTGGCTGGGACAAAACCTAACAACAATTTGTCTTGGATCAGGTTTTTTCCCTTATCAAAACTACTGACACAGCAAAGTTAAAGACCTAAAACTCTTCAGATTAAATGTTTTGATTAAACGATGACTAAGGAAACCAACGTCTGTGTCTGGACAGTGACTCATTGAGAGGAGAGAGAGAAAGAGAGACCCAGAGTAAGATAGAGTATGGCTGGAGAAGCGATGAAGGGGTATGTGGGTGGAGGAAATGAGACACTGCTCTGGCAAGTGCCTTCCTGGACTAATGCTAGAGTAATGACATCACTGTTCAGGGGGATAACTGGAAGTACAATAGGCTAAAAACTATTGGCCTGTTCACTCATTCTTATCTATCATGATCTGCACAAAGCAACATGCATGACGTGGGGCACACATGAACAGCCAAGACCTTTTAGCTTTGAAGTGAACTGCAGCTCAAACCCAACGTCAGCCCATAACAATGCTGTTCGTACAGAAACAAGAGCAAGGTGATCCTGAAAAACAGCTGCTTTGAGTTCCCTTAAATCCCTGCTGTTTTCACAAGTCAGACACACACCATGAGACCACAGGTCTGTCCTCATTGTTCTGAGCCCCTGCGGAGCAAAAGCCTGGGAGCTATGTGGGGTTTTGGGTGGCTTGTGTCTGCTTTAGAGGGATCATAGTGAGACTTTAGAACAAAAAGAGGTATGAAACTGATATCCCCACAGTGTCAAACAAACAGCCACGTCTTTCACGCACTGAGTCGTCTCCTCCCTTTCACTTGGACTTTACTGCCCCTGTGCTCGAATGTGACCCCCTGCCCTGAAGGGACAAATTTGGTGAGCTTAGGTCAGTACAGTGAGAGGGATACAGCCTGAGCGCTCTAGTTACACCTTCCCTCTGCCTACAATATCTTCACCTTGGTGATATAAGTGACACAAAGGGTCACCGCCAATATAGTCTACATCCATACTACTAGGTGTAGTTTCAAAACAGCATTTTCAAACTAGAACAATCTCTTGCCACACAAGCAGTTTGGCTCCATATCCATATTAATCTCTGTCCATACTAACGCACTTGAAAACACATATCATGTGACCACTTAAGTACACTAGACATGCAGATGGGAATTGCTCCAATAATAGTCTCCTATACATGTTAGCATTTGAAGCTTTAGAAAATGCAGAATTTAACTGCGCAGCAGCTGCTAGCAATGACAAAGGGTTAGCAACACTTATAATTGATTATCAATGTTGTTTCCTACACTGGTAGCCAAGGCTAATGCCTGTTGTCTTCTTCTGGATGGGGGTCATGTGATCTATAGGAGCTGCAAAGACCCAATCAGCAAGTGGTTGTGAGTGTCTACATCATAGTTTCCAAACATCTTAATTTCTGCCCATCAAGACTAAAATGCAGGCCCAGAGCTTTATAACTAAAACAGGACAAGCTGCGTTTCCAACCTCCTCCATTGTAGCAGCTGTAAAACCTCAGAGCAGTGTGAACAGAAGGGAAATCTGTAGCAGCGTTTCCAAACAAAAATGTAGTAGTATGGATGTAGCCATTTTCTTGTTATGAGATACGTTGTATTTCTGTTTTCATTTTCATCCTTGCTGTTCTTATTAGAATTAATCCAGTCTTTTTTCACTTCCTCTGCACAGATGTGAAGAAGGACTGGTCAGACCATGCCTTGTGGTGGGAGAAGAAGAAGACATGGCTGTTGAAAACCCACTGGACATTGGACAAGTACGGCATCCAAGCCGATGCCAGGCTGCTCTTCACGCCACAGCACAAACTTCTGCGCCTCCAACTGCCCAACATGAAGCACATGAAGGTCAAGGTCAACTTCTCGGACCGCGTCTTCAAGGCTGTGTCGGACATCTGCAAAACTTTCAGTAAGTGGAACGAAGGAAGGATGCAGTGTTCATATATTTGGTGGTGATGTGGAGTTCAGTCTTACTGAAGGTGTCCACCGTGCCCGACCTCAACTTCCCCCAGTTACACTATTTTTGGAAAGTTTCTGGACATTTTCTAAATCAAACTGAGCTAATCATGTTCTTCCTCTGACTGTTTTCATCTCTGCCAATTTGTTGTGTTTATTAAACACTCTCTGAGCTCCGTGCACCAGAGTCACGTCTCCTGACTGGCAGTCCCCCGTTCAACTGTGGCGTCTTGTCCTTGGAACCTGGGCTCCATCTGTTTTACACTAATGTTTAGTAAACAGAGATTATGAATCTGGATTATAACACAGACGCACACCAACAGATGTATTCATGCTCACATAAATAACTCTTTCTCACTGTCTGACTTAACTACCTACCATCTCTTGCACTACTAACATTTCTAAATTTAACTGTTCCACATGGTGTAAGTAATACACTATTGATAGCTTCCATCATCAGCATCACAGTGTCCAGTCAGAGACGTGTCAGAGGTCACACACTGGACCCCGCCGACCACCTGACCTGCTAACACCCACTTTTCCTTGGCTCAGCCCTTGACACTTGCCACTGACTCTTAGTCGGTGTCTGCAGTGGGGATTGCAGGTTTGGAGAACACCCACCTATAAAAATCTTCCATCAGGCAGGGTCATCTCACACCTGTTGAGACTTTGTCACTGGACTGGGTAGAGCAGTCAGGATCAGGAGCTGCTATGTTGCTCTCCTGTTTTTATTGGCCTCTAGCGTTTATCCTTATTTTTACTTTGGTACGAATGTAATATTCCAAATGACTGATCAAGACCAAATAGCACATTTTGTTGAGTGTAAATACACAAAGAGGTTGTTTTTGAAAGCAGACTCAGGGGCACGGGGGAGAAACAGGCCTGCAGTCTTGTTCTCAGCCAGGCCTGATGAGGAATATGTCTGTTGTTTCTCTATTAAATCTATTTTAGGACAAATTGCTTTTGGCTGACTTTGTTGTGTGCCAGAACGTTGCAAGAAGTATAGTGGCCCTTAAGAACCCCACAGTGAGATGTGCTTCTACTGTTGTGTTTGAATCATTGTGTATTATAGCTTGTAAAAAGCAGGATTTAAGGTAGCAGTCAGCGGGAAGCTCTACACTGTAACCGAGGGTATGACAGCTGACTACAGCTGGTCTGGCTAGGGATTAGTTAATTTTGTTGTCTGAGGAACTTTTGAGATTTACAATTTCCTGGACATATTTTCTGCTGACTGCCTGTGAACTGCCCAGCACAGAGAATCAGAGGGGAAAGGAAGAGATGAGACCTTTTCCAACTGGCCTTCGCTCCAGACAGCCGAAAGGGAGCGGCAGAAATACTGGAAAGACAATGGAGATTGTTTCTAAACATTTTTTACATTTCTTTTGCTCTTGCAAGTCCAGTCAGTTGGTCACACAGAAGCTACTTCCTCTTCCAAAATAATTTCAGTCCTGCAGTGAAGTATTTGGCTGTTTTTCATCCCCACCCTTTTCATGGTGGATTTTTTTATTATCCTCTACAATTTAAGATGTTTTTTACCTCAAACATTCTTTTTTCTCTTGAGCACAACTCAGATTCTGACCGTGAGTGTCCCATACAGGACCAAAGCATAAAAAATCGACATAACACTCCCAAGTTAAAAGCATTAAACCAATTATCACCGCTGTACTTCTCCCATGTCCATAGCAGCTGGGTCCTGCCACAGACACAGTCCATCTGGCCCTGCTGGGAATGAGGAGGACTGTTCGAAAGGTCGATGTACTGTAACAGATGAAAATCACTCAGTTTCACTCCTGTTCTGACCTCTGTTTCCATGAGGCAGCTCCTACATCCTGTGCTGCTCTGCTTACAAGATAGTTGTGGTTAAGGAATTTGGGCTTTTCCATTTTTAGTTGCAAGATAACGTTTTGATAAAAACTCTGACAATTCAGAGAATTCTCTGCATCCACGTTTTTGTGCCTTCTGACGTCTGAAGATCATCTCAGATGAATTTGTTGTGCACTGGTGCCACTTGAAACCCTGTAAAAGCGTTGTAGGGTTTGAGCCAACAAACTGTCAGAAATTTGGGGGAAAATATCTTTGACAATTACTTGGAGCTGTTGTTGAGAGAACCCATTTTCAGACAGGAACTCTGGGCCTGAGTTTTTATATATAAAGATGGTAGCAGGAAGGGTCAGATGTGTTTACATCAGGAACATTAAGGGGAGGGTGGGCATTGGGGTGGATTATCGAGGAGGCAGGACATGACGTATAAATTCAGAAACCACTGAGTTTTTAACTGACTTGGACATTTGCATTGTTATATACTCACATTTCAGAAGTCAGTATGTACAAATATAATGCTTTTTTGCTTGATAAATTACTTTCTTTTAATTTAAAGAAAAAAATCAATTAATCAACGAACAATTTCAGCTATAAAATGGAATATGAATTACAGAATCAGGTCTGCAATGAATTGGTTCTCCTGGCTTTCTGCAAAGTGATTTGCCAAGTGAAGAGTCAAAGTCAGACATGAGCTTCTCCTGTCTAGACAACCTGGACTCACTTCCACACTTGCACACATGTCCTCCCTCTAACAGGAGGCTGTTTTTTTTACTCTTCCTGTGGGCTAGCACACAAAATGTACTCTTCACAAACTGACTAACACATGACTGTGGACCTGGGAGCTCGAGGCGGTACAAAATGAGGCTGCTGCTCTCTGCGAAGCACCACTTCAGGGTAACAAGTATCAGGCTGTTCCACTTAAGCACTGTGTGTTTTTTGGTAAGAACTGCTTTGCTACCATTTGTTGGAAACCTGAGGCACAAAAGCGTTCTCTGGAAAATAGAAGGGGCAGCAAAGCTACTGTAACTTCTCTGCAACTGGAGGTAGAAGGGATGAACATAGAGGGCACAGAAGATGAGGTTGACAGTTGAGAATATTGCAATGAAGTGTGAGCTTTGTCCTCCAGAAACCTTTCTGGAGGAGTGGTACTGCTGCTCCATCGTCTTGGTCCAAGAGATTTATGGTACATCAGCCTCTGGTCTGCTTGACTGGCCCAGGCCACTGTTGTCATAACACAGGAGGAGTGTGGTGTGGCCTCAGCTCCGGTTCCATAATTAAAGTGCATTATTATTCTTTCTGAATGGCCCTTTAGTACCTTTTCAGCCTCCTGTCTGATAAACGAAGGACTCCACTGATGCCATTTCCTATTATCGTTTGTCCTTAAAGTTGGACTGAAAAACATTAAAACTGATCCGTGACGTCTGTCTCATGTTATTGTATTAAATCAAAGAATCACTTGACTCAGCTCAGATGCCAAACATCTGACCTCACTGCACTTATCACAAGCTGAATTCCTAAAACATTAAAAAATCCACATTATATCGTCTGTTTCCCTTTAGACTGAGACTGTGTCAGAGTCATTTCTCAGCCCTCGTTTTATTGTGTCTTCACTGGAACAAATGACACATTTATTGTTCAACAGTATTGATCATTCCAGCGAGTGCCTCTTCGAATCAGTAAGAAATGTGCAACTGGGGAAATAGTTGGTGAAATCACTCCTCTATAATTTTTTTGTCCATGTAGGGTCTCCATCTGTTTGTACTGTAAACCTTAGTGCTGTAAAATTAGACTGTGACGGTGTTTGTGATTCTTCTGCGGCTGGCCTTACTCACTGCAGTGAATCATGTGTTCCAAGGAGTAGGTCCTGCGAGCCCAGCTGGCTGCAGTTCAACCCCCTCTCCTCTGGCTCCGGGCCTGGAGTCTGCAGGATGGAGGATTGGGGGGTCTTATTGTCAAAGGTGTCATTTCTGCTAATGGAAGTCGACCAAGCTTTTGTAAGCACTCAAACCATCACTCACTCTTTCTCCTCGTCCTGACACTGGCCACAAGTATGCACTTTGTGCAGGAGCAGTCTCTCCCACCATTTCACGATTCCTAAATTGTCTCTATAAACATACAATTCAAAACTCAACTGGGTATGTCAGCAGAAACTGACTGTCTCCTGTCTGAAACACACTAGTGCAGCGTTTTTTGATATAGTTTTTGTCTTTTTTATTTGTGGATGGTGTTTATACTTCAGGACAAATTTGTAACACCTCCAATCCTTTCATAGGAGTGATGGAAAAAAAATTATATTATTATTTACCCCACATACCCTGTTTCCCACACACGGAGGCACAGCAATCTAGTAAATGGGTCTAAAATATTGATTTTTTACAAGAACATTAGTATTTTAATTTTCTCCTCTGATAATGGCCTGTTTTTATGTAACACTAATTAATTGTTTAAAAAGTATTTTTGACCAAAATTGCTGGTTTTGAGCCACACATCTATTGATGGTTATAATATGCATCAATGTTATAAGCTACAGTATCATTGAGATGCTTTCTATTTTTATGTATAACACCTATTTACACTGGGTCTAAAAGTCTTAACTGCATTTAAATATTAAATACTAGGTCTTTAATACTTTTAGCCAGGTCTTTCTCAACGATAAAGATATCAGCACGCCATAATACAACCAAGATAAACGTGGATCTGTCATTTTAGTCGTGGGGATGGTTATGAATTCCTACTGTTTCTGGCATTTCTTGGGATATTCTCTACTCAGCTACTTCACCTTATCCTCAATTATGGGGAAGTCTAACTAATTCTGGGACTTCAATATTCATATCATACTTGACATAAGCCTTAAATTTAATTCATTATGATATTAAATACCCTTAAAGTTAACTTGTTGAAACCGGCAGATTATCACACATCAGATTGGTCTGTAGATGGCTCACTTTATATCCTGTGTGGACAATGAGGTCATATGTATGAACAATTAAAGCAACTTTGTAGTAGAATACCACATGCCTTTGTAATGCCTCAACAAAAGACAGGAGCCCTGTGTACATACACAATTTGATACACACACTCCACTGTGTGTATTAGGCAGCTTGCACTGCTCTGCAGGGCTGAAGCTCGGCAGCACGCCTGCAACTCACATGGCTGTATAAGGGCACAGGGATTGCACTCCACCACTGCAGCAGAGCAAGAATGAGGGAGGAGAGAAGAGAGGGAGTCAGCGAGAGACGAGAGAGGGTGAGCTCCCATCTGGTAGTTCTTAAAACTCCTGGAATGCTTTTGCTTTAGTTACACAAACCAAACAAGATCTCTCACCAAGTCAAGACATTCGCTCTCTCCCCTCACGCTTTAGCTTTCCCCCACCGGCCGTCAGCAACATTTTTTTAATTAGTCTGCAACACCTTGTCGATTCTTCATTTTTAGAAAATCAAGAGAGGTTTATATCAACTGATATGAGAGAAGATCTTTTATTTTTGAACATTCTTGTGTAAAACAAAGTGAAAATCATGAAATAAGATTCTCAGATATTAGTTCACTCCTTAGTTCATATGGAATCTTTGACGAAACCAAATCCAGCTGAGGATCCAGATTTTCCTAATGCTTCTAGACTATAGCCGCATGTCTTCTGGTTCTGACACTTTCTTTCTGTCTCACCCACAACATCAGAACCATCCTGAACTCATCTTAAAACGTCATTGCTGCTGCTGAGTGATGGCTCCCTGGCCTCCGAGCTCAAGGGAAGGAGAGAAAAGAGGGGAGAAAAGTCGGGGGAGAGAGGCTACTCTGTTTTAGTCATTATCTTCAATGTGGTATCTAATTTTCTGATCTTGCACACAACTCTTCGACTTTTGCGCAAGCAGAGTTAAGACATGGGTGTTTACTTCTTTTATAGTATCTGAGAACCATCAGTTTTTTCTGAATTTGTGAAAGCTGAGCTGTCTTTCTCCTGGTTCTGGTTTCATGTGTGTGAGAAGAATGATCCAGGTTGTGTCTGGCGTGTGTCTCAGTTGGAGATTGGATAAAGTTAAAGAAAGATTTGTTGTGGCCCAGAGAGAAGGGATTTGCAATTTTCCACCCTTCTTGTGTTCAGCTCTTTACAATTCTTGCTCATCTCCTCCATCCCTTTGCCTTCTCCTACTCCTTCTCCCTTTTTGCCCCTCAACTTTTTCAGTTCAAGTTTCTTTAGCGTCTTATTCACTGATTATACTAGTTCTATGCATTTATAGCCCAAGCAAGAGGTTGTGTGGTTTACATGAGGCCTGTAGTTGAACAAAATATAAATAAGTGTATGCTTTTAGTAGGTTTCTGACATTAAAACCTGCCCATCTTGGTGTCCAGATTGCTTTTGCATCATTGTTATTCAAGGTTATTTTTATGAACATTAAATTTACTTTCTTTCCCTCTCCCCTCCAGATATTCGCCACCCAGAGGAGCTATCTCTACTGCGTAAGCCCCGTGATCCTAAGAAGAAGAAGAAAAAGCTGGAGGAGGCAGAGGAGGATGATCTTGAGCTGGAGGGTCCACTGTTAACCCCTGGATCAGGTTAGTTGATTGACAGTAACTCCGTCACTAATGTGGAGATGAAGCACGTGTGGCTTCAAACCACTTGTTACAGTATTTTACAGCTGAATTGTTCATGTTTATTAGGAAGGACGAATAGAATTTACAGATTATTTAGCAGAAAAGAAAAATATTAGACAAGTGCAAGTTCTGGTGAGATGAAAATAGTGAATTTATACAAATCTTAGTCAGAAGAATCAGGTCTTTAGGTTCAGATCCACTGTGATTATAGGTTTACTGTATATTTTGAAAAACAATAATCTCATTTCCCTCAAGCAGCAGGACGAATAACAGGTTCCACTGGCTGCAACAGAGCATCTTCCATTCTTTTCTTTTTGTTTGATTGCACTTGTGGTTCAAAACAACCAACTAAGATAACTCCAAATTGCTGCAGCCTGCCTCTAATGACCAAATATGAATGTGTAAGTTTGAGGTCTGCATGGGATCTGCAGCCTGGGCTCCCTGCTCCTTGGCAGGGAGGACGAAGAATGGTTGAGATTCCACGCATAGCTGGTCACGCTGCCATTTTAAACCCAAACCAGAATGCACGACTGCATCTACACCAGCTACTCCTCCCTCCTTCTGCCACTGATGGGAGGGTTACCACCATGTGAGCAGAGTGTGGCAGAACAAAACAGGGTACAGCGCTGTCACAGAGTTAGCATTGAGCAAAACTGCAAACTCTATGAGACAGGGTGAATGGGACTCTTTGTACACTCTGCTCTGGCCTCCAGTCTGTCTTCTTTCTCCTTAGACCCGGCTCAACATGCATATAAACACTCATGTGAGTGGAAAAAGGCCTGAACTGTTACTGTGAACTTGGTGAACTCTCACAATTTGATTCGCTAAAGAAATGCTAATACTGCTGACGTGCTGATTTGATTCACTGTAAATGCCCATGCATAGAAATATTAGTGATAGAAAAGGCTTAAAAGCAGCACTCTTATCCACTTTTTTTTTACAGTTCATTTTTATGGACACAGCTCATGAAAGTCACACCCAAAAGTTGCACCATTACATTTCATGGGCGTGCTGTGTTGATGCCTCTATTGTGGACACATTTTTTCCCATTGGGCAACTGTGGTCACAATACTAGGTGGTGCAAAAATAACAGTTCCATCAGGAATGTGCAGAATTTGTTCAATGTCACTTTACACTTCCTGTCATCCTCTCTATCAGATCTGTCACATGCTGCAGTCAGAAGGTGTATTTCTTGGCCAAGTTGTAAGGCGTGGTTTGTCCCTTGTGGGGAAGGGCTGACCTCTCAGCTCGGGTCTCTTGATAGGAATCACAAGGTTTTTCACAGAGGCAGCAATGCAATCAGAATCCCAGTGCTCTCCTATGCAGCTAAAGGCTCATGCATAGTCAACACCACTTAAGGGACAAAGAGAGGAGAGCTCACTGTAGCTCGCCATGACGTTCAGTAAATACTATTATAAACACTTGCAGAATTATTGTTGCACAAAAATCTACTTCATTTTCTCCCGCAACCCAAAACATAAAAGAAAAGGGCTTCGTCTTTGCCTGGCCACCTTTTTAATTTGCTGATAAAACAGAAAAATGTGCTCTGTACAGTAAGGTGACAATGACCTCACAAGCACTTTACATACATGGTGACTAATTATTTCCACTTAAAGACTGGCAATCCTTTTCCATAACCTCAATCTCTGTCTTTAAAAGTACTTGTCTGTCTGCATGCTCATGTCAAGTGCCCACAGAACTGGCCATTTTGGTAGAAAAGCCATGGTACTAATCCTCAGCTGCTGTTGTGACTCAGCCTGAGACCCACTATGTCTCCTAGTACTTTATATTTGTGCTGCAGTTAATACATGCAGGGCTGGGTCACACTGACCAAAGTCTTGCTTGGGCTTTCAATCAGTTGCGCTGCGCTGAATGGCAATGAACGTGTGGATGGAAAATGACAGAACCTCACTAGTCATGCCAGGGTGTTCTCCCTCTGCAAAGAGGGTAAACTGAGTCATCCGCTCTGAGGCTAGCAGTTGGCATTCTTCTATTCCTCTATTTTTTTGTCTTTTCTCCTCTGTGTCCTCCCTGTCCATGTAGAGTTTGTCTCAAATCTGTCCACTTGATGTTTTCTTCCCATTCCGTTTTCTTCCTTTCCTGTCCTCCTTTCTCTTACTCTTTCTCTTTTCATCCTAGCCTCTGAGATAGTATACATCGGACCTGTCAAAGGTAAGCTATCCTCTCCTTCTGTCCTTTTACTCTTCAATACTGCTTCCTCACCTTGCCTCCCGCCTTCCTATCTACCCTCCACCCCCCTTTCACAGCCAGAGTGTTGAGGTCACATGACATCAATAACCTTTGGGACTAGAGGCCTGATCTGACCGCTCCTCTAGAGGAAGTCAGCTGGTTTGAAAGGTCACATGATGTTAAGGCTTCGCATCTCGTTTTTCTCAAAGCTCACTTTTCTCATTACATCTACTGTGGAATATGGCAGCAGCCTCATTTAGGATATTTTAATTACATTCTTGGACAGCAGAGGAAGTGGAGACCCGTTGTCCATCTTTATATACAATATGGTTCTTGCTATACATTAAGTCCAAAATTCAAAGTCAAAAAATGTTATTGGTCCATAACTCTATACACTGTACATTTGTTAGTGCAGCACAAAAGCTTTGTATAAAAATCAAAACTAACAGAGACACATTTCATTATTTTTCAACCCTCTCTTGGTTTACTTCTCGTCTTAACAGCCCATGGTGGTCCAGCTCCTTCCATCTAAGCCTTCTACAAATCCCCAGTGTGGGAGCATTAGGAAGTCAAGTCATGTTGACTTTCTTTGTGTCGTTTCGCTTGTATTGGAGAGTCAGTAAACAGGATGGAGGAGGACCAGTTGTGTTGTTCAATGGGCTGCCAGCTTTCACCTTTTACATGGTGTCTCTGAATATTTGGGATTCCTGAGGAACCCCTACGGGAAATGGGAGTACTCTCCCTGACCTGATGAACTCAGCATCAGGGAGAAAACCCTTGAAAGAATCACTGAATAAAACCTTCCCCCGCAAGGGATGGGTGGCCATAGCCTGCACCCTGTTCTCATGACCTCAGCTTGCAAACACAAACACACATGTACACACTCACAATCACTAGCCAAGCCCACTTCCTGATTTCAGAAGGGATTTAGTGGTTTAGCCAGTGTTGCTTCTTGATCTTAGCCCTACAGAGGGAGACAGGGAACTGAGGGGTGTGGGGCCAAAAAAACTCCACAAGGCCAACAGGAAATGCAGATAACTTGACTTGGTGTCCTGCTTTTGTTTGGAGCCAAAAGCCAAGGTTAAAAAACAAATGGATAAACTAAAAAAAAAAGTCAAATAGAAAAATCAACATTCAAAATATTTTGACAATTTCCTGAGGATTTGAATTTACAGTTACATCTTTTTGTAATCCAGGCATCCTTCTCCCACATCTTTGCATTCCTCCTCTCCTCTCTGCAGCACGTTGTGCAGTAGTTTGCTGTGTGTGATGCATTCCTGCAGGTTTTTTGACTGTGAGTAAGTGGGAGACCCTGATCATGTAGTGCATCATCTGCATGCTGATCCACATCAATCCCACCATCAGCAGGAGGACATGGTTGAAGTCACTCATCTGCAAAGTGTGGGCTCATAGTCACATGGTTGTTGTTGACTGCTAGCTGGCCTGGCTAGGCTGCAAGTGTGTGTGTGCTTTTTGGAAAGTGTTCACCATTTTACCCCATAGCTGTTTTTAATGTTCTATTTGTGATTGTGCACCTATTGGATTGTCTAAAGCAAAACATATAGAAAGAAGTGATTATGTTTATTTAATAAATACTTTGTGTGTAGTCTTTGCACTACAAGAACTGATTGATTGCTCTGTGTTTCCAGGGAGCATCTACTCAAGTCCAGGCTTGTACAGTAAGACAATGACCCCCACCTACGACTCCAGGGATGGCAGCCCACTGTCGCCCACCTCTGCCTGGTTTGGGGACAGCCCCTTGTCCGAAGGAAATCCCAGCATCCTCGCCGTCAGCCAGCCAATCTCCTCACCAGACATCCTGGTGAAAATGTACAAGCCCCAGTCTCTGCTGGACAAAGCCAAAATTAACCAGGGGTGAGAGGAACTCTGCTTAGTGGTTTGGCCGTTTGGTTGAACTGGTTTAAGTCATAAATTCTAAATAAGTTTTGCAATTGATCAAAACAGTTGGAAGAGGCTGCATCTCTTCCAGAAAGAGATTTAAAAGACACATTCTAAGTAGCACATTCACTGTGCGCACAGGTGGTTGGACTCATCCAGGTCTCTGATGGAGCAGGATGTGAAGGAGAATGAGGTGCTGCTGCTGAGGTTCAAATACCACAGTTTCTTTGACCTCAACCCTAAGGTATGTCCCACAGACAAAGCACAACAACTTTATCTTACAGTCTGTTTGGGCATTTGTAGAAAACATGTTGCATCAGATTGCTCTGTATTGTCCCCTTTCATGAAAGTCAGATTTATGTCATACGGACAGAGTTTTATCCTGTGTAGTTTGCAGTATATTATATCAAATATTACATCATACTGACCCTGGCCATCACAGAGTAACATTTGAAATTCAACTGATTGAACAAAACCAGGTTGGAATATAACACATACAACTTTTAAATATTGCATCTCCAGATTTACAGACGTCTTGTGTATATCGGACTGTGAGACAGCGTTTATTTGTTTCTGTTTATTTGTGCGTGTCCACAGTATGATGCCATCCGAGTGAACCAGCTCTATGAACAGTCCAAGTGGGCCATCCTGTTGGAGGAAATCGAGTGCACGGAGGAGGAAATGATGATGTTTGCTGCCCTGCAGGTAAGAGGACATGTTTGTGTCCTCTCCTGATCTTAATTTTTTCCTGTTACAGCATTGTTTAGTCAGGGTCTGAAATTTGAAGATCTGCATGCTTCTCTTCATTGGCCAATGGGCACATTTCCTTCTCAACCACAATCTAATAAACTGAATGGGCTTCCAGCCCAGAGCTGAGCCATATGGCTGCCAGCTCTGCTTCAGCATGCATACTAAAACTTGGCTTTTTCACATTCGTGCAAAAGGAGTCAGTGGGGTTACTATGGCACAGATTCCCAATGGACTCATCAATATGCTTAGATATCAATCAATTCAATTTATATCTGTATCAGTCAATGGAAAAAGGAGTCATTAGGCTTTTAAGCAAAAAATCCTTTATGAATAATTAATTACAAGTAACTTTAATGAACCTACCTTACTTAGCTCAACAGAGTGAAGTCACTTTGATTCCTAGAATCAGTGTAATGAAGAAGAAATGAGATGTTCCAATATTATATTCTTATTTTCATTAGCGTCCTTGTTGGTATCTAGTAAGTAACTATCCAGAGCTGTATTCTTCACTACTCGGCCGAGGGTTTTAGCTTCATGTGACCAAGTAATTTCTGCAAACCATTGCACTTTGCTGTTGCCCCTTACACTGAGTTGCTCTGCCCTGGACAATCATGGCATCAGACAAACTGTCTCTTATGAGAAAAGTTTAAAGGAAGATCAGATAAAAGTGAAATGACAACAAGTGGCTTTAAAGGGGATCAGTGGAAGTGATATACAGATGTGAGCACCTTTGCCCCCTCAGGTTGCTCCCTTCAGTCTGGGGTTGGTGCCCCTGCTATTTCTGACCCTCATAAACTGTTAGTGCCAAGACCTGAGGACGCCATCCTGTCCTCACCCCCAGGGTAATTATAGAGCATCTTGGTCCCGGGACCCAGCGCTGCAGCCCAGACCACCCACCCCATCATGACACTGTCTCACAGATAGACCTGCTCACATTCCTTTTAAAAGCCCTTTTACACTCTGAGGTGTTGGTGTTTCTCTTCAGTCTGTAATTACACTTAACTGGTTTCTTGTTTCATTTCCTGAGAGAGATGCTAATCTACTACACTGTTGCTACCTGTCTGTTAGCATGTTGGGAGCTACCACTATGTTTCAGCTGGGTAGCGTGGGCTAAGGTTTCACTGTTGAGAGTGGATACACACACAGGGTCTAAATAAAGAGCAATGATTGTCCACTTCCAGCATGTTGCTGGCCTGTGCTAGTATGCCATCACCTGGAAGTGTCTCTTTGGCAGAACATAGACGTGAGGTTATCATTAGTCGAGAACAGTAATCGACCTCAGAGTCACGCTGCCCATTAAAGAAACTTAGGACAAGGGTTGAACTTTGTATCTCAGTGGATAAACAGTTGGGTTCATCCATTTATACACACAAACAGGAAACAAGCTGCAAACTGTGAAAGAATGGAGGCTTATCGAGGGCCCTTTGTCCCACATTCTGTAACCATAGCTGACTAAAGCCTCACATATCTCTGTCAAACTCTGTCTCTGTATCTCTCATCTGCTCGACAGCTGTTCATTCATATATTGGTGGGGGGTTGGTGATGGGTTGACATTATAAATACCATTTGTCAACAAGTTGTATTTAGTATCTGTGACTCACACTAAGAGGAAGCCACAGGCGGGTTTTTCAGTAATGGGCCCCATCTTGATGAATTGCCCTCTCTATTGTTACAAGAACGCACTGTCTCTTATCACATCCTATTGGCCCAGTTGCACATGTGTTCCCAGTAAAAACTATTCATGAAGCTGTGATAGTTGCTGAGAACACATTGTCTGAATCATCTAAACTAGTTCTGTCAGTGAATCATCATCACTGAGCATTTTATTCTCCCGTCATCCTGAAACTAGTCTTCTCATCTTTAAGGACATTGTCCCATCACTGCTGAACTCAGTTGTGCACACTTGCATTATTTGCTAACGTAAATGCCAGCAAAGCCTTTTATAATGCAGAGTTGTAGTTTTCGTGCAACAGGCACATTGCAGGAAATCAAAACTGATGACAAAGGTGATGGAGTAGCTACCATTTGCTGCATTATTTGTGCAACTTGCTCTTTTAGTTAAAGTCCGTCTCTGACAGAGGCTGTTTTTCTTTTTCATCTGGAAGGCTTCCATTATCTTGTGGATAGAAACGTTTTGTAACTGGAAGAGTTTAGGTTTTAGCAGTGCTGTGAGGATAATAAATGTGAAACCATTTTCCATAGTACTTCAGACTTTTGCTACAACTCGCATCTGTTCTTAAACCTCAGCTGAAGTACATATTGTACATGTGTGTCTGAAAGGAAGACTGCAATACAATTCCTGAATTTCTCTGTATGTGACAGTTCATATGCAAATCTAGGAGGTCTGAATGTCACCTGTCCCAATCTGTCATATTCGGCAGTGCATTGTACTGGGACAATTTTTGGGAAACATGGATTTTCCCAAATATTATAGAAACCCTGATTTAATGCAGAAAATTGTGTATTTTCCCCCCATCAGTACCACATCAACAAGCTGTCAATCATGGCTTCAGACAACCACATGAACAACAGTGAGAAGGAAGTGGATGAGGTGGATGCAGCACTGTCAGACCTGGAGATCACGTTGGAAGGAGGGAAGACGTCCAACACACTGGTATGACAACACTTGCCACATCATCACATGCACTGGAGGAAATACCCTCTATGGAATACTTGGACTGGGCTTTTTTTCCCCTTTGTGTCTGTACTACAGTCTGATGAAGTCTTCTTTCATACGTCATATTAAACAGGAGCATAAACATTTGTAGACACTGCAGACTGACTCAGGGGAGGGGAAAATAACAATGACATTCACTGGAAATGCACATTTCACACTGTGATGAATCCCCAAAAAGGCTGCACTGAAAATAAACATCTCTTTTGTTACAGCAGCTCAGTGTTGAAGAATTAAGTTGCTACAGCTTATCAGAGGAAACTGAGCTCTGAAATATTATGCAACAATTGTTTTCTTTAGAATAGACCACTGAGTAATGACAATGAAAATGAACAACGTTAATCCTTAAGTCATTGTTTTGATTTGAACTTTTGATTTTAACCACTCTCTTATTCTTGTGTGAAATAATGTTCTGTGTTTTTACTAAAATGTCTCCTTTCCTTCTAGGGTGATATCACATCTATTCCTGAGCTAGCTGACTACGTCAAAGTTTTCAAGTAAGTCCGCATTCACCTTCAATGTTATCAAAAACCCTGTGTCCAACAACTGTGTACGAATGTGTTTGCAAGGATTTCGTTTGTCTAAAAGATGTTGAATCTATTAGAGCAAATAGCATTTTTTGGCTAAATCAGCGCGCTCTTGCCTGTTTTGCATCAGTGTAATAGACCAGGTTGTTTGCCAGAGGACATTTGCAGGCTGAGCTTGCAGTTTAGTTTTTTCTTTTTCTAAGTGATTACAGTTGGACCAAGCATATTTTGAACCACATTCACTTTTGGCTGTAGGCCTTTGCTGACAGGCAGGTGGCCCCTGGGGTGGTTGTCTCATAAAATGTATAAACCATCAAGGGGGGTACGATATCGAGAGGCATTTCCTCTTTAATGGTTTTCCATTAATGTTCTTGTCCAAAGCTGGCTCCTTTCCTGTTCACCTCGCTGACTTTGCACTGGAGAACACCTCCTTCCTCCCACTCCTCCACTTCCTCCTCCTTCTTTGTACTCACTTTTGATCCCCCTCCCCTAAGTATGACATGTTTCCCTCTGTCTCTTATGTATTTTCCAGACCCAAGAAACTGACGCTGAAGGGCTATAAGCAGTACTGGTGCACATTCAAGGATATCACAATTTCCTGTTACAAGACTAAAGAGGAGGCACATGGGACACCTGCTCACCAAATGAATCTAAGAGGTGCAGGCGCTCATACAATTTACATAGAATCACAAGATAAAAGCTGTTTTCAGACACTCCAGAGAACGTCTGCACAAGCGTTGGCACTTATCACTAAAACTCTCTAGACTCTCTTCGTCGCCGTCTTCAATGTCCACGGCATTCATTTCATTTTTGCATACGAAACGTCATCAATAATCATTCGCTTGCTGCGATCTCCTGCTGTATTCTTACATGGGTTCATTTAGGCATTATCCAGAGTTTTTACTTGAGGGCTGGCAGGAGGAACTCTGGAGAAAATTCGGAGCCTCTTACTCGGATGTTTGCGTTGTCACATACAGCCCCTCAGGAGAATATCAGGAGATTATCCAGAATTCAGTGCATGTCTGAAAGCAGTTTGAGTCACTTTATACCCATGCAATAATTTACTGCTTTATTTTTCTACTGCAAGTATGCTTTCCTTCTAATGTATGGGAGTGACCTTTGACCCATTTTTCCTCTCTGCACTGTGGCTTCATGTGTGTAGGTTGTGAGGTAACTCCAGATGTTAACATCTCGGGTCAGAAATTCAACATCAAGTTGCTAATCCCTGTGGCTGATGGCATGAACGAGATCTGGCTTCGGTGTGACACAGTAAGATTTAACATTAATCCACCGTTCACTAATGTTTCTCGTGGTTTGACAGGTTTTGGATTATAAGCATATTGTTTGATTTTCATCTTCAGGAGAAGCAGTACGCCCACTGGATGGCCGCGTGCCGTTTGGCCTCCAAAGGGAAGACCATGGCAGACAGCTCTTACAACCTGGAGGTCCAGAACATTCTGTCCTTCCTCAAGATGCAGCATATGAATCCAGACCCTCAGTTCATTGAGCCGATCACCACTGACATCAACCCAGAATGCCTGGTGTCGCCACGATACCTGAAGAAGTACAAGAACAAGCAAGTAAGCATTTCTGTAGAGAGCTGTAACACAATTTCTATTGACAACTCTGAGCAAAGTTAAGTGTGTTGTTGGAAAGAGACAGAAAGAAGACAACAGCTTATCTGTCGTCATGTGTGTTTTCTGGGAGGCTGTTTACTTGTTTGATGACCTGGTTGTGAAGTTAGATGGAGCAGCGTTTGATGCTTCCCAGATGGGCGCTTCCTGGCATCAGGGTTGTCTTGCGTTGGAATGAAACCTCTCCTCTACTCCCCCTCCTTTACATTTCCTCCTCCTCTTCCTTCTGTTCCTCCTCCCCAACCCTCTCTGTCCGAGGGGAAACCAGGACAGCAGACATCCAAACCACTCAGGTCTGCACACAGTGGAGCTGCTCATGTCAGACTGAAACAGATACTTAACCTCAGATCCCAGTCTTGGTGCTTGTAGACAAAAGGGCTTATAGTGAAGAGACCCCCAAGACGAGAAACTTGAATTTATTTGAGTTTTTAAAGACGGAACAACTATAAGTAAGCGACAGTAGCAAACATCCTGATAACCAGGTGTAACATTCAAACACTGAGAATTAATCTTTGTTGGCGTTGGGGAAAGTCTACAATGTGCCCAGCGGATTTGCATGCAAGCAATAGGCTGGTGTGTGTGCACTGGAACAGCTGAGTACACGAACACCATGGCAGTGTTAGATGGGAAAGGGTGAGGAAGAGAGGGAGGGGTCTGCTCGCCTTAGCTTACTCACTCAGCCTGGTTTAATTTAAGTTATAGTAGAACGTTGCGGGGGTGTTGGCGAGAGGTTGGAACAGTTAGTGATGACTCAGCAATGGTCTGAATTAAAATGGATGGCTAGAAAGCGAGGAAAGATGAGAGGGTTATGGGAAATGATTGAGAAATGATGCAACACAAGGATCTAGATGTGTTTCATTTACAAAATACTCTTCTAAATGTAAATGAATGACATGACTGATAAAAGAGGAGAAAGAAGATTCCAGGTCTTTGCCGACACCTTTGATAATAGACGAGTAAAACACCAGCGTTGTTTCTCGGTTCTTTGTCATACAGGAAACGTGTGTGATATGGTTCTACTGTGAACACAGTACAGTTAAAAGTTGGTATTATCCCAAGAACACATGTGGCTTCAGTTCTCACTCTTTCTCTATGTCTCCTTTTAGACAACCCCTTAAAGATAGTTGGAGCCAATAGCATGAAATGAAATTTACCGAATCTTCACGAAACACAAGGGTCTCATTCATGTTTAAGTTAAGTCGCAGAGAGGTTAACGAAGCCAGGTCACATGATGCACGTTGACCCAACAAGAACCGAGTGCTGTGTCCATTTTAAACCTCCCTGCTTGGAATGGGCTGTTTGTTTGACCTGTGGTGATTCTCGTTGCAGCTTCTGTCTGAAACTGTAAAAGTGACCTGCAGTAACTAAGTATAGACTGACTGCCAGAGCACCTCAAACTGGAGAATCAGGAATCATTAGTTAGTTCTCCTGAAAAACTTAAAATATAGACTTCCTGATTGAATATTTCAGCAGCTCATCACTTCAGGGAGATGAAGGAATAATACATTTGGGAGCATTTAAGAGTTAAAGCTCCCATGAACCATATGCGTGCTATCAAACCCTGATGGGAGTTGTTGTTGTTGAAAACTTAACAAAATCCTTCCAGCGATAAGCTGCTCAAATATCACAGTTCACTGTTCACTGACCCATTTTTGAACAGAAGACTCCAGTATCGTGTTTCAGTGTTTTTTACTAAGACAAAAGGTAAATAAACCTCGTTGGCTTAATTCATTGGTGGAACTGAGGATGGATTGAACAGGAGGCAGGATGTGGACCAGAGAATGACCCCAGCAGGGTGTGTGTGTGTGTGTCTGTGGTTCTTTCTGGCTCAGGTCCAATCCCTTCCCTTAAACCCCAGTCTGATAGGGGATCCCCAGGCACAACATGAAAGTATAGTGGCATTATGTACAGTATGTGCATGTGCCCGTACACACACACTCATGTAGTGGGTGTGAGGCAGCAGGAAATTAGCCATTCCTGGAAATGCTGCGCGGGAAAAGTGTCTGGGAAAAGCCCGTGAGCTCTCAGTCAGCTGCGACCCCTCCCCACCTCCCTCAAACTGGACTTCCTGTGGTAAGATTTGTCCAGGGAGACTTCCGTGCCCAGCGGATACACACACAAACACACACACACACTCTCACACACTCACACAGTGTACACTTCATGTGTACACTGATTATCTGAGGCCTGATCTATACATTTACAGTAGAGTAAACTCTGGATCTTGGAGACATGACACTCCTACACATTGGAACCTAAAGTGTGTTGCCTGGTTTGTATCACCATCTTGTGGATGAAAAAGGAATTGCAGAGAAGATGTGTGATTCCTATAATGACCTATTTTGAAAGTCTATAAAGAATAAACATTATCCAGACCTGACATATATAAATCCAACACACACGTTGTGTAACTTCCCGTCTTTTCTTTTAAAAATTACACACTGTGTGATTGCTGCTGTATCCCCCTCTTGTGGCCAAACACTGCATGACACTCATATGCCAAACCCTCCTCTTCCAACTTCTTTTTATCTTTTTTTTATTACAGTTATTGTTTATTTGTTATTTTGTCTTTTTCCTCCCTCAACATTGATCTTATTTGCTTGTTCTCTTTATCCACTCTGTCTTTCCCTCTATGCATCTCCTTCATTCTTCTGCATCTCCCTTCAATCCCCACCTCTCCCTCTTCAGCCAGGCTATATCAGGGACCTGGTAAGTTGAGCTGTGTGTCCACTGGGTGCCGACCAAACCTTAGACATGTGCATGATTGTCTCAACTCTGAGCTCTTCACTTAATCGAAGAAGTAGTTGTAGGAAATCAGTGTTTCCCACGTGTCAGAACTTGTGTTGATAGCTGGTGAATTCATATTCACAGACACGCAGCCAGGTGCTCCTCAGTCTGTTTCTCACGTCAGTATTTGGAAAAAAAACAGATGCTTGGCTTTTAAATTAACTTTACAGAAATTAGATGCAATTATTCAGTGCTGAAAGAAAGATAAAATTCATTCACCACTTGACAAGGAGGTGTGGATTAACCTGCGCTGCTGCAGATTGAAAGCTGAGGTAAAGTTTTGTTCTCTGAATAGACTGTTGAGTCTTGAAGCAGCCAATGCAGCGTATTGTTGCTGCTGTCTTTCATGGAATTTCTAAGTTATTACTAATGAAAAACCTTTTCTTTACCTGTCCTTGTAAAAGCTGCTTGTGCAGGAGGGTTAGAGCGAGGGGAGGTTTTCCATGAATTAACTGATCACAGATCACATTCTTCTGTTGGACAGAAATGAAAGAAAATTACTAAGATGACAACCATTGATATACCTGTGCATTCAGCCCAAGTAAAGTCTGTGTGTGGGAAACATTGGACGTAGAATTCATAGTGTCTGATAGTCTAATAGATAATAGATAGAATAATTAGCGAGCTTCTTCATAGTTTACTGTATCTTCTCATATGACATTTAACTCTATTGATGTGACATCGGGGCATCGCTATTGTGTTTCTATTTTTTATTACATGACATGTAAGGCCCAAGTACTGATAGTACAGAAGATATTCATTTCCATATACTTATCATCACTGCCGACCATTCATCAACCCACACCACATAGTTTGAATGTGTTTTGGAAAGATTTTAAACTTTTAATCAGATTTTAATTCATGTGTATAATATAAAAGCAGAGACTAGTAACTTGGTTCAGGTAAGTGATCCATCACATAATTATTTAATAAACTGTAGGAACCGTTCAATCTCTTTAAGATTTTATGAGATGAATGTTTTTCTAAACAGCAACAAACCATCAACTTATTGAGTTTCTGTCGTCAATATTTTCTTGTTACCTTTTGATTCCAATGTAGTAGCTAATGAATGCTAATCAGTTGCTAATTACTACACAAGGGGAGGGAGGTAAAAACTGTGATGGATTACACACTCCAGGACATTTCTATTTTTTAAGCAGATTTTCATACTGCACGAACTGAAATGAGTTCTCATCCAGAGAGAGGGAAGGTGCATAACTCTTTAATTAGCTTTAGAAAGTAATCAGCAGCCTGTGTATAGAAAGAGAAGTCAGAATCCTCATGCGAGACAGTTGTGAGACAGTTGCGTCACCTGAATGTCTCTGGTACTCTGCTCCTCCACTTAGTTGATAATTTTATGAAGGACATTTAAGGACATGAATACACACATGCATGCACACTCACACAGATGAAATACTTCTCTTTGCTTTCTAACCTTAGTCTCCACATGAATTCATACGTGTGTGTCTGTTTTCTAGCTGTGTGTAGACTTGTGACACCTCTGGTTGTCTGTTGACACTGTGTGTGCTGATGGCTCTGTGCAGTTAGCCTCAGCTGGTTTATGCAGTGGGTGTGAGGATGTGGGTGTATTGGGTGGTTTCCAATGTGGCAATATTGTGGTGATGGGAAACATTTGTTCACTTTGGGGAATGTGTTTCTGGTGACACTAACACATGGTGGGAACATACTGAGATTTGTGTGTGTAATGTTTATGATTGTGTGTTTGTCAGATTTCAGCCCGGATCCTTGAAGCCCACCAGAACGTGGCACAGATGAGTCTCATCGAGGCCAAGATGCGTTTCATCCAGGCGTGGCAGTCGCTCCCTGAGTTTGGAATCACTCATTTCCTCGCAAAGTACGTTTTGTCAGATCCGACTGAAGTTCAATAAGTTGCTCATCTGTCTTTTTACTTTACACGAAGCACACGTTCAGTTTTACATCCTGACACCGACTCTTTAGGTCATTTCACCTTCACACTTTCATTCACCAACTTCTCTTCCAACTTCTTCTCTGCAGGTTCCAGGGAGGAAAGAGGGAGGAGCTGATTGGCATCACCTACAACCGTTTGATCCGGATGGATGCCGGCACCGGAGATGCCATCAAGACTTGGCGCTTTAGCAACATGAAACAATGGAACGTCAACTGGGAGATCAAGATGGTAGGAACATATGAAAAGGATTAGCTTTCCAAATCTGCATGTCTCATTAATGTCTGTGAGGATTTGACACAGAATGTCTGGTGTGACGCGCTCCGCTCTGTGCGCGCAGGTGACGGTGGAATTCGCAGACGAGCCGAGTCTGTCGTTCATCTGCGCCGAGGTGGACTGCAAGGTCGTCCACGAGTTCATCGGCGGCTACATCTTCCTGTCCACACGCGCCAAGGACCAGAACGAGTCTCTAGACGAGGAGATGTTCTATAAGCTGACCAGCGGCTGGGTCTGAGCTGCACCCCCCCCCGAACAAGCCAGGGGTCATAGTGGGCTGGGGGGCCAGGAGGGGAGCGGTGGGAGTGGAACCACGTTGTATGGGTTTATTTTATTCTACTTTTCTCAGTCTTTATACATTTTTTTGGAGCTGTGCTGAAAAGTCCAGAACAGTGCAACTGTTGCCATGCCAACAACCGTGTTCTCTGTTGTATTGCCGACGAGGTCCTTTGTTATAACACTAAATCGTGATTGAATCAGTTCAGATGAACTTTGAACTTAAACTCCTGTGGTTGAGCAGAAGCCTGTTAAACTACGACCACCTGCCTCCTCCTCCTCCTCCTCCTCCTCCTCCTGGACCGACGGCCATCAACTTAACGTCCATGACTTCCCTTTAAAAACCAATCAAACACCAAATTGAATCCCAAAGATCCTTTTTTTTTTTCCTTTTTCCTCTTCACTCTTTTGTCTTTGTCTCTTTCTCTACTAGAACTGGACTGAAGAGCTGACGTCAGACTGTCATTAAAACATGTTGTGCTTTAGTGCCACAGATAAACTACAGTTATATCGAATTATTTATCCTAAAACATGGATTTCCTCAGAGTCCGATGGAAAGGGGGCGGGTCTGTAAACAGCAGCGTACATCCTCTCCACTTAATGAAGGGTTTAATCTCCCTGAAGTCACGTGTAAGCACTTCTACAGTACACAGTCCTGTTTTTGAATAAGCTGTTTTTTAAATGTCCTTTTTCTTTCCATGTCTGTGTCTTCACAACAGGAGAGTTTAGTCTCTCCTATGAATTTTCAGCGTATTATCTGACAGGTGCGACACTGAGAGCCTCAGTTTAGTTTTTGTATTTAACGGACTTCTGATAGTGAGCATGTCTGGAAACACACTACAGCTCAGTGCACTGTCACGAGCATCCTGTTTGTTCAAAAATCTGGTTTCAAACCATAGACTGAAAAATAAAGATGGACATCGCCTAAAATATCTCAATACTGGTGCCGCCATCTTGCACTTTGGACTTCATTTGGAGCCAGAGTCTGGGCAGTAGTAATTGTTATGGAGCTGTGGTATCGAGGATCTGCCAATGCACTTGCTCAACCAATCACAACCATGATTTCTATAGCATCAAAGAACTAATTACAACAGTTCAACAAGCATGTGTGATAAATACTACCTAAAATGACAGAAATGGATTTACTCTATTTCTATCCACATCCCATCCACTAACACAGAGGAGGCAGGGAGCTTATACTGCAGCCAACCACCAGGGGGCGATTGAGATCCTTTGGAGCAGTCATGTCGTCCATCTTTAAAGTCTAAGTTTCAAAATAACCTACAGGAGTCGACCGAACAGCTAAAACAGCTCAGTCTATAAAGTCATTTATTCTCATGTTCGCTGCATTGAGTGTTTTCTAAAAACAAGTTTATAAACACTAATCACTAATGTCACGAGTTGTCAGTGCATGTTTGTTTAAAGCGTCTCATCCCATTGACAGTTTTTATCGTTGCTTTTTAATATTTAAACCCTCGAGAAGCTAAATGATTTGTTGACATGTCCACTACGTTTTCCAAAGTTTAGAATGTTTTATCAGCATCATGTGACCTGGTAGTGCACATTTAGAAACCATCAGTCCACTAAAGTCTGCTCCCTGTGTTCATTCAGTCTTTTGTCCACAGCGTGTACGAGCAGAGGTCTTCAGGTTTATTGACTGTAGCCCTCACTTGAAATGTTTGACTAGAGGTTCTTGCAGTTCTGCCACGTTCAGGGACAGTCCCTGTTTAATATGCAATATCTTAATTGGTTTGAGATGCACGTCTTCTCTTTAAAGCGAGTGGCCATGGCTGCTCGTCTGTGTCATCCAGGCAGCAGAACCAGACTTGAATCCACTGAGGATGAAACTCTTCTGCTGGTGGGGTAGATGCACGTGTTTAAAATGTCTCATCCTATTGGCAGCAGATTTAAAAACTGTCCACTACCTTTCTCCAACCTTAAGCTCGTCTCTTAGGCCAATTGTGTTTTTTCTCCTGACCTGAAAGGTTAACTTTTATCCATCACATTTAAAAGCCCTGACATCTCATTGCTCTGTGCATTGACACTACATAACACGAGGGGTCATCACTACCTTCTACCACCTTTTTATTCTTATCGCCTTTCTGTCTCTCACACCGTATAGTATTAATATTGTTGTTATTCTTATTTTTATCATTACACACCAGCAAAAGGTCACTGAGTTTGAAGAATAAATATGCAAAATGTTTTTTTCCTCTGTTCTCAGTATGAAGGATCAGTCAGTAAAGTATTATTTTTTGTAACTAATGTAAAAACACAAACGTTTTATAGAAATTGTACAGTTTTTTTTCCTGCTTTTTTTGGGGGGGGGTTGGAAGTTTTTCCTTTCAGAAAAAAAAAAGTGGGTTGTCATCTGTCAACGTGTAGTATTCAGAATCGTGCCTGCTCATGTTGTGGTCTTACCAAGTTTTCAGATGAAGATATATATGAATATATATGAAGATAACACTAGTCTCAAACTCCAGATTTGATGAAGATGTTTGTCGAGTACATATATTTTTTTTCTAAAATACAGATACGTATGCCTTTTCAATGTGTTCTTTATTTCTTGTATTACTGCTTAATTTTATTGATTTTCTGCTTTCTCTTCTACCACCTGTGGCCCAGAGTTGCATTTTTAGCTCGTTCTTTCGACTGACGGTGATACTTTCTGTGCATTTTTTGCTGCAAATTTAATTTGCTCTTTTTTGTTTTTGATGTACTTCACCTATTCGTCTGGTATTGTGTCACAACCGAAGTGTGCCATTTAATAATTGTCCATATGAAGGAGACCCACATTGCTTAGACCTTGGAGTTTGAGACAAATCAGCAAAAATGAAGTTGGGAGGAAAATCAAGCCTCGTCTTTGTTCTCTGATGTGTTTGTTTGCCTCCAGTGTCGGGAGCAGCAGTGCATGTCCTGCTGCTCTGTTTTCTGACTGTAAAAATGCATTTATTTTAAAAAATAATAAAGTAATTTTTATTTAAGCTCGATGTAATGTGGCCTTGATTATGCGCTTTAAGCATAGAGCAGAATTTAATCAGTCATAAGAACCTTTTTCACCCTCTTCTGAGCGGCCTCATTAGATCCACTGATTAAAAACTACACTCCATTTTAATGCCATGATTTTTAACACCATATTTGGTCACATGCTCACATTCAGCTGATCTGTTTGTCCAAAGCGAAATGTTTGTTGTCAGTACTTTCTGCTTCTACCTCAGTGAAGTTGGTTTTATGTTGGATATCTGACACTTCTGCCTTGTTTTTAATGGCTTCCATGTCTCATGACCCACTGGTCAAATATTTTTACAGGTCACACCACTTTTTATTTTATTTGATCAAGTGCTCTCTTTTATATGAATCTTAAAAAACAACATATTTTTTTATAATATAGCCACCATGTCAAGTGACCGACAATAATGCTGAATTGCATGATTCCCCTAATAAACAGGACAAACCTCTTTTTATTGGATTTTAGTGCTTCTGGTATTTTACATGAATAGTTTTCAGACGCTTCCATGTAATCTGACATAAAAGATCGGAAACATGAATCCATTAAAACAAGTGTGTCCTATATGGACTGAGGGTAATAATACAAGTCAGTATTGCTTTGGAGTCAATGGGTCACAAGACATTTTGTATAATATTTATATGAGATAGAGGACACATTACAGTCCAATAAAAACGTGTGTCCTATTTATCTGTAGCCTGTGCACTGGTTATGTTTCTCCATCAGAGGGCAGTGTACAACCTTCCTCCCCTCTCTCTCCCTCTGAGGCCTCATCCTCGCTGCTTTCCAAACTTCTCCAGATCTGACATGTTTATCTGACATGTTTACCTGACGTCCCAGCACAAACCGAGTGGCAGATTGAGGAGGAGATTAGATCAGAGCACGCCTGCAGACAGTCTGTCTATTGGCAGCCGTTTGCCCGTCCCCCCCTACAGTGAACGTGGCGCATATTAGTGCTGTCCCCTGCTGAGCAGCTGGGATGTGGAGGTGGCTGCTCACGCCCCCTGATGTCCACTGCAGTGTCATTTAGAAAAGACATTGTCTGCATCAAAGAATGAAATCTCTTCTCTCTTGTTGGTGCAGTAAAAACCGTCTTTGCTGGAACATATGAGCATCCACTCTTCTCTTGTGCGTCTAATATTTAGATTTTTCACTACGTCAGTTTAAGTATTGTCTCATTGTCTCATTTACAGCTGACACAAACATGTAGCAGCTTCCAGTCACCTCTGAGATCAGATGAGCGGTGCAGTGTCACAGTGGGAGCAATGAAACTGAGCTCTGCAACAACATCCTCTTCTTCCTGAAGATGGGTCTCAATACAACACTTCCACTGTTGTGTTTATTAAAGCAACACTCTTACCGAGCAACAGCGCCCTCTGTAGCCACACGTGGTGATTACCGCTCTGTGTCCCGGCGATCTGGGGATTTTGTCCAAAATTTTGTTCCAAGATTTGTCGAAAATCTGGTTAAAAATCATTTTGTGCGGAGAAAATGCGGATAAAAGACAAAGCCTATCAATCTTTGACCGGAGCTCTGACTGCCCAGTCTCACTCACTCAACTGAAACACAACTGCACGGTGAACATTACCCATCATCCCTGGATACCTAAAGCAGAAGAGCTGCCACTGCAACAAACCAAAGTCTGGTTAGATTTCTTCATATTTTAAAGAAAGATATAAACGCTGGTTTTGAATGACTTGAGACTTTTTGACTGATCTTCTGTTCGACGTTGCTGTTGAACTTGTTGGGTTCTTGCAATCTAAGCTGTTCCATAGAGCGCGGTGTTCAGGTGAGGAGTCAGTGAACCGTCAATATGAGTTTAAAGCTGCGGTGCTGCTCTAAAACCTCTTTTAATGCTCGTGTGCAGCACATATTTCTGAGGGATGTGGTCCATTGTGTGGCTCCACCTAGTGACGTAGAATTCCTCAGAGCCCTTGGGAGGACGGAGGTGGATGACGGCTTTGATGTGAAAAAGTGGGTGGAGACCTGATATAGTGTGCGGCTCACAAACAATTAAAAAGCAGGAAGTGAGAACATGAAAGAAGTTGAACAGGACAAGGAGCTAAGTGCCTGTAGCCATTCAACTGCAGCTTCCTGGTGAAACAAATGGCATCGTTCAGTTTCAATGAAACATCGCTCTCCTCATTCCTGACGTCCACCACCAGCCCGTTATTGTCTCTCTCTCACGTCGACTTCTCTGTGCTGCAGTGAGCGGAGTGATAAAGACGATGTCAGACACGGCTTGAAATTTGATTGAAATTTCCCGTAAAGAATCTCACTCTTATTCTCCCTTCAGACTTTTTGACCTTGTCGAGAACAACTGTTTCTTTTTCATTCTCTTTCTCCACAGACACCAACTGTCAGGGTTCTCAGAGTTCATTCCGCTGCAGGTTAGAGCAGCTGCTGTCACGATGACAGGAAGAGATGAGATCGTGCAGGTCTCTCTGGGGACGTCCACGTTGGTCTGTCGGACGATCCATCGCTTTGGTCCTGAAAAATCTCAACAACTGCTCGGTGGATCAGCGCCATCTTTTTTTATTAAAACATTCATGGTCCCCTGATGTGAAAACATAATGATTGTCATTTTCTGTAGTTCCACCGTGAGGTTCAGGTACATTTCTCAACATCTATTTGGTTTTCATGACATTTGATGTAGAGATGTTCCTCTCAAGATGACTTTAAATCACTGTGACGCTCCTTTGTCTTCTTCAGACATTCACGTCTGCTTCAGTTTTACTCATGCTAATAAGCAATTGCTAACATGCTAGCATGCCAAACAAGAGTTGTGAAAACATAACATTTTTGTCCATCTTCACATCACCATGTTAGCATTTGGAACAGTTAAGCTTCCTCCTGTTAGCATTCAGCTCAAAGCATCTTGAAGCTGTCATGGATGGAGACTGAATATAACAGACTGTATTTATATATTTATATAAATGGACGTAGATGCCGAGTTTGAAATGTGAAGCCAATGCTGAGGTGCCTAAAACCAAAAACTAAATCTCAAACTGGAGGCTTGAAAACAGCTGTTCACAAACTTCACCGCTTGATGCAGACTTTTAGTCTTGAGAGGTTTTGCATCACTGTTTCTCTTTAATTTACTTTGAACACTACAGTATATAGACTTTAATCAAAAGCCAGAATTTAACTTTCCAAAGTAAAAGATCTTCTCAGCATAATTTAGAGCTTTGGATATTTTGGTTTGTGATCAATAGCAAATGGAAAACACTTTAATTACTAAGTCGCTGGTTGTGTTTGCTGCATTCATCTCCTTATGGGAGTTTTGTGAGACAAACGATTTTGGATTCTGACACAAAAATGTACTCAGAAATGAAAAGTTGTGTTTATTTGCCATAAACAGCAAAAAGAAATCGTTGCAGGATTTATAATTTCCCGTCCCTTCTCTACGTAGAGTCTGTGTGTTTGACCTCTTTGTTTTCCCATAAACTTCTACCTTAAAAAACCTCACATATGTTCTTCTCATCATCTCGGACACTTTAAATATGTTTCAGTGGAAAAGGCTCAGTCTGGGCTGAACACTGAAGAGAGCCAAGACTCTTATCTTGATGTCATCAGTTCTACTCTGGAGCTGCTGAACTGAGCCTGAAGGCTCCAGGAAAACATGGATCTGGTAAAAAAAATAAAAAAGTTGTCTTTGGTTCAAAGCCTAGAACAACAGTTTCATACGCCCAGAATATCATGTTCAATTTAACCATTAATTAAGTCACATCAGTGACATTTGTTCACAGATGTAACAGGTCAAGAGCTTTTAGTTTCTATTTCAGGAAGGAAAGTTTACAAATAAGTTATTGAAATGAAGTTTTTCTCCCTGACTCCATCTGCATCTACTACACACTTCTTCTCTCCGTATGAAACCTGAAACAGTTGAATCTATAAACAACATTCTCCACCGCTGCATCTGGCGTGTACGTGGAAGCCTGAGGTCATCCACTCTGTTAGTCTTGCCTTACCGTCTGGGACATCACGCGTGCCGCTGCAGAAATTCTAAGCATGTCATTAAAGTCTCCGAGCTGATCCGCAGGGTGTCCTCTCAGCTGATGAGGTCATGTCACATGGTGTTTAAAAAGATGCAATGGGACTGTTGTCAGCCAAGATGCTAAGATCATCACTTTCTGTAGCACGCAAGAATTACACGGTCATGCATGCTACGCTATTATAAGCACATAGGCTTTTGTGAGTGTGTGAAGTTACAGCTACAGATGTTGTGTATTCCAGCTCACATAACATTTCAAGTTGAATCTTCTCTTGGGCTATTTGCTGTGGAGTTTTCTAAAGTAATGCACTTCTCCCGCAGGGGGAATCTCTGGCTTTAAGCACTGTTGCACAAAATTGGGTAATTTGCATCGCTCACTAAAACCTGTTGTGTTTGGCAAAATCCTGTTTTTCTGCCGAATTGATGCAATATAGAGGCCTGACGTCGTTATGGAATACAAACAGACAAAGTGTCAGGTTACCTTGTGTTTTTCTTTACGTGGTGGTTAATGAAGCTGCAGAGTTTTCCTACAAGAAGGAAACAAATCCAGGGAGATATTTCATCAAAATCATAACACGACAAAAGTCAACATGGAATCCTGCTTTTAAAAAAGGAAATAAAGAGCAAACAGAGGCTCAAATGGGACACCAGGGGCAACTTTCAATTGAGCTGGTTCCGTGGCAGATACTGAGATAATTCAGCTGTTCATAAATTGATCCCTGTGAATCCCCAAGCTACACCACATTTCAGGACCTCATTGGTGCCTTCATCTTCAGTTTCATCCATTTTCTTTTATTACGTTTGCCTCAAATTGTTCCCAGACTTAATAAGAAACAAGTCTGTGTTAATCTCAAAATCTCCGAGGCCCCTGTGTGCATCTCTGCGGCGTTACGAGCGGGAGATTGTCTCGAGTGACACCGCTTGTCCGGCGACAGTAAAAAGACTAAATTGAACTTGCAGATAAAATTGGATTCTTGGCTTTT